CCAGGGCCGTGTGGAGTTTTGCCTTTGTGCTTTGCACCACAGCCCAGCGGCGGGCCAGCGGGTCCTGTGCGTTGCCGAGGTCAAAGTCGTCTCTGGCGGTCGCGGAGGAGTTGAGCGGCTGGGAGTCTTCGTGCATTGCAGTTTCTGAGGAGAACATTGAGAATGGGGTTGAACGCCGCTCCATTGTTGTTGCTGATGTTGTCGGGGGAGGGTTTCCGGCCTGCGCTATCTGTCCGTCTGACTGCCTAGTTTGTCTATCTGTCTGTCTGGGGAGAATGCGGTTCAAGCGGCCGCTGCAACTTGGAAAGACGCGGAGACGAAACGCGCGAAACCGCCGGACGCCTCCTGCAATGTCAGTTCATCATGCATCATTCCCTCCACGCCGGTCCTGACTCAAGGGCTGCTGCTTCGGAACCTTCTGCTTACCTCCCTGCCTGTTACTTGCCCATGAGCGAACGCATGACCCTTATCGTTGATCAACGACCAGCGTACCCCGTTTTATGCTTATTTACTGAGCCGAAAGAAATACAGGGCAATACAAAGAACTTTGACGAAAACTGTCCTCTTCACATCTCATAGCGATACGGGCAGTCTCGCGTCCGGTCTCTCGTGTCATCGAGAATAACTTTCAAGCTTGAGTGTTCAGTGATGGACGTACAGCCAGTGGACAAAAGTTCTAAAATTTTCACAGGTAGAGTGCACTGCGCGGCGGCTGTGAGGGGGTCTCCAACGTTTGTCCACTGACTGTATGTTGACCATTTGCTTGCGGGCGAATTGTTTGATTCCCGCTGTCGTATTCTTCTATGATATTAACGGTAAACTTCAGCAGCTGACGTCAAGTTAGGCGGGCAGGCTTCCGATGCGGCAGCTGAAACTGGCAAGATCCTGAATCCATCTCAACCCACTCGCCGTGGTTTCCATTTCTTGTTGCTTCGGGTACATTTTCTTCGTCGAAAGTCTTACAACTCTGCAGCGGTGACAAAAACAACTAGCTAAAGCTTGCATATACGACTTCAACAACCCACTTACCGGTCTGGCACCACTTTTAAAGAACGCGACTTAAACTCTTTAAGCCAAACATCTGGAGCCTCTTTGGGGCTACCAATTGTTAGATCCACTGCAAGAACACGGTCTGCCAACCGAGGAGTCCCTCGGCTGCGGGTTTTTCTTCGAAATCCTACAAAAGACCCCGTCAACACGCCCTACATGAAACATCCTGGTCTCGCCATACGTACAATGAGGATAGTGGGCATAGCTCCATACAAATCGCGAATGGCGTGCTTTTGACCGTTGGTGACATATCACCAGCTTTGCTGCATTTGCTCCTTCCGAATTGCTTCCAGGAGATCGACCCCAAAGATCTTGCGAGCCACTACTGAGTGCTGACCCGGTCCCTAAACCACCGGAATATGGGACAGCGACCTAATGAACGAGGTTAAGAAATGAAACTGAATGTCACTGAGCCTTAGCAAAACTCACAGGATCTCGTTAGATTCCAAGGTAAGATGTCGCAGCGCTGCGACATCTTACCGTGGAATCAAACCTTTGCTCCATCATGATTTCCTACGGTCCATGCCTATTGAAACTTTAATGAGACCTTCATAGGAGATCGAGAAATCGATCGCCCCTTTACGGAAAATCTGGTAGCCTACCTCCTTATACATTCGGTCAGGATGTCGAACTCATCCGTGATCGGATTGCTCTCCAAAAAGGGATGTATGGGCGAATCAACATTAGCACGCTCCGGCTCGGCCGGTGGTGGCGTAAAGGGAGTGGTGGAGGCAGCTGGCTTGTTGTGCCTTTTCACTACAGTCCCCGCCGAAACGGAAAACTCTGAAACCGCTTGTCCGGCGAGTCGGGCTCCGGCCTTCCACTTTTAAAGATGGGCAAGCTGTTCTTCGTTACAATCCTCAAAGCACAGTACCCACTTCGGATCGGCGCTCAGCTGTGTGAGAAGAAAACGTCGGCATTTGGTTGTGTAATCAGGAAGAAAGGTCAGCTAACGGTTCTCACTTCAAGTAGTTGCAGGGTTTATATCTTCTATTCCGCGCGTCAAATATTTCAGCATAGGTGCAGAGCCGCGACAGATGCACAAGCAACGGATCTATCCAGCAAGCAGCCGGTCTACGCGCACGCGGTCGCTGTCGGTGTATATGCGGTGCATGTCCAAACGCCGTCGCGGCCGCAGGGCTAGATGTTCTTTAAGTACAATCGCATCAATGGAATTTGGCTGGCCTTCGACCAACATTTGAACTTCGTTTTCCTGAATTTGAGAATTAAATACGCAAGGGCATTTATAAATTAACCTTTCGCTCTTTGACACTCTCCTTTGCGTGGCTGGTCGAAACTCACCCGCAGCTCAAGCGCCTGGACTAGTTTCTCCTTCATTCTCTTTCTCGCCATCTCGGCCATGCGAGCACCTTCCATTTCTCTTGCCCCCCAGTCCCCCCAACGCGCTCGCGCAGCCTCCACCTCACGCATATACTGTTTGCGCTGCCGCCGCTGTCCGCCCCGTGCCCGCTGATCGCTCCGCTCAATCATCTGTGCAATCTCTGCATTCGGCGGTGGTGCGTACGCAGAATACTTTGCGCGAATCAAGAGCGGGAGGTTTCGCCGCCGTGTGGTTGGTGACGAAGGGGCGAACGAGGAGTGTGGTTGCAAGGGGAAGGGCACGTATGGGCGAGGTGCTGGCAGTGGGGAGGCCATGTGGCGTTGTTGCCGGTGGGAGGTTGCAGTGGAACTGGGTAGAGCGTCGTTGGATGCGCCGCTGGGTGCGAGAAGGTTGTCTTGCTGTCCATGACGGTGGACTGGCGGCAGCACGCTGCCGTGTCTTTTGGCTCGCCCCTTGGATACCACGCTGTCTTGCTCGTCATCTTCTTCGTCATCACCGTTGTGGGCGTGGTGGTCTGAGGCGGCGGCAGCTGGTGGACCGCCGCCGCCGGGCGCGGTGCTTATGCTGTCTAGACTGCCTGGTGCGGCTGGCAGCGGTACTATATCGGCGAAAAGATGAGCTGTCCGGAGAAAGCGGGCCGAGAGGAGTTTGGGGACGGGTGCACGAACAAAGTTGCGGACGAATGATGGGGAGGCACCGCCTTCATCGGGAGCTAACGGCCGTGGGCGAGGTGGCGAACGGGCTCGAGTATTCCGGTGGGATTGAAACATTGCTTCAAGAAGTTGCGGAGGGCGGATTCGGGGAGTAGGGAACGAGAGGACCACAACGCAGATTCGACAAGTCCGCCCGGTGACTCATCACTCATCATTTCACCCCGCTGCTTCCATGGCGACCCAAAAATAGAAACCACAACATGCTGCTTCTATGGCACTCAAGCGCACTCACCAGGCTATAAGGTGAGCTGCTTCTAATTCAATGGTGCCAGCCCTGCTCTGTCATTTCCACCTTGGAGCCCGCCGTCTTGGAGGCGGTTTGACCGGGAGAGACTGCGGGTGCAGCGACAGAACATCCCGCTCCTTGTGGAAACGACCCGAACAGCAAAGTCAAAATCTTAGTTCCAACCTCAGGCACGCCGATAGCTCTATTTCTCCGGCTGGCCTACAAGGACCTGCCGGACTTTTGGTAACGAAAGTCCCCAAGCTGACTGTGGCGACGCCGTGTCACCAGCGTTAGAGCTGAACAACATCATCCCCATCCGAATCGCGCTCCGTTGCGCGCGAGAGTTGAGCAATTTGAATAGGAATGTTGTCGTTTCCCAGCTTACTGAAGCTGGTCTGGCGTGCTCGGTGATTAAGACGATCGTGAAACGCTCAGGAGAATTACCATTTGAAATGATTCGGAGCGCTGGGGACGAGGCGGGCCAACGGAAACGCCGGCCAACGGTGAATCGATATACCAGGACCAGCTAGCCGCTGGCGGACGTTTCCGTTGGCCGCCGTGCTGAGATCTCTGCACACGGAATGGTGTTGGGCCGTTTGCAAATCGCGCACCCTCGTCCCGCGGCAGGGTATTTTGACAGATTTATCTGGTAGTCAGTGCTCTACTAGCAGCCTGGGACCGTCACCGCTGACATTCAGAACACCGGGGCCAAGTTCGACAGGGTCCACAACTGGCTGATTACCTTGGATTTCCCCTTGTTCCCAAGCACCTACAAGGGACACAATTTCGTTAACCTGTCGTTTGAAAGGACAAGATCGCGACGCGCCAGCCAGTGCGCTGAGGAGTGGGCAACTTAGACGCCTGTCGACAGCGGGTCTTTGTACATCGCTGCTGCTGCGGTCAGGCCGTGGGTATTTTTGTGGTTGTATGATGAGAAGAGGAAAGGGCCTAATGTACTGCTGCGTTGCGGGCTTTGTGCATCTCGCTGAGGCGGCTACATGCACACAAGGTCAAGCGACGGGAAACGTATAGGTACTTGGGAGCGAAAGCAGTAATAAAATGAGTCACCGCGTGTTGCCATCTGTCGACAGCCGTCTCGCATGTCGACGACACTGATTTGCTTCGGGTTTCTCCGAATGCGTGCTAATGCTTGAGCATTGACTTTTATATGCCATCTTTTGTGAGTCTGTAGAAGAAGGGAAAGGCTTTCGAACTCAACAAGCGCGAGCTAAAGGCTGCCTGCCCTCCGTCCTTCCCGACGTCCTTTGTCGCCTTGCGGCGTTAGCACTATGGTTTTAAGAGTTGCTGCAATCTTGTTGCCTGCTTGCTGCTTGCCCATCTGTCGAATTCAGAACAAGAGGATCAAGCTTGTTTGCATGCACTACCTCACAAATGCACGTATGGCTGGGGGATTTACGAAAGTAAGAGAAATCGCAACGCGCGCGAGCTAAAAGGCCACTCTCCGTCCCTCTGGGCGTCCCTTGTTGCCTTGCCGCGTTAGCACTATGATTTAAGAGCTGCTGCAGCCTTATTGCCTGCTTGACACTTGTGTATCTGCCCGCCAAAGGAGCCCATGTATTGAATTCAGAACAAGGGGATCTGTTTGCAGGCACTACCTCACTAGTGCATGTATGGCTGGGAGTCATACAAGTGGAGGAGGAAACAAGAAGCCCGTGTAGCACAGTGGTAGTGCGTCTCCCTCGTAAGGAGAAGGCCGCGTGTTCGATCCATGCCGCGGGCACAGCATCATTTTGGTTTTTCCTAGCTTTTGCACAACGTTCGGACGCCTTTCGGACGGCGGGGTGGGCGCGCGCGTAGGGGAACTCGCGGCTGGTCGTTGCGCTGTTTTGGCATGAGCTGCAGCGCCCAGAATGAACGTTTCTCCACTCAGAACACGCACAAACAACATCCCGACTGTCTACGCACCGCAGGCAAAGCCGCTGGCGACGGCGGCTTGCCCTGCAGAGGCTGCCGCTACTCCCTCCCCGCCGCGGCGCTCGGCTCTGCATGCGTTCAACGGCAATCTTGCTTCCTCGCCCATTCAAGCACCGCTTCCGTGCTCAGAGGGTATCAAAGGACGAGATCCATCAGCTGGCCAAGGCGAAAGTGAGTTCAGGCGGTGCGTGCTTATTAGTCAAGACTGCAAGCTCACGAAACTTTGCCTTTGCGCAGACTGCTATCCGCTGCCGTCGCCGATAGCTTCTCCAAGTCGTCTTCCACAGTTGGTCGATTTACTGTGCCCGCCGCCATCAAGTGCGAGTCCAAGAAACAAGCGACAGCTGGCTCAAGTCGCAGACCTTGATTCGCTTTTGCGAGAGCCTGCAAACGTAGTGGAGTTTGGGGCCGCAGCCTCGCATTGGCCAGAGGACGGTCTTCCGCGATTTTCGTCCGACGAGGAGATAAAAGAGGAGCATTTGAACAAGCTTGCTGCAAGAGGGGCACGAAAGCCCGCGGCAAAGTGTACGGCGCGTGCGCGGTCTGTATGGACATCCGCTACGCGGTTTGGGGTGCCGGTGATAATGCACTCTGCGATTCGGAGCCGCGAGGTGTTTGGATCAACCTTGCATGGTCCCATCATACGTACGTCCCCAACGCCCAGCGTCGTTGTGCTCGCGCACTCTGTCTTGTGTTCTAAAACTCTTGTGCGGTTTGCAGCATCCGCGCGGCAAGTCTTGTTCAACTTTGTGAGCACAGAGCACGACGTGTTTCGCATTGTAACCGAGGACTCGGCCTATGTGCCGCCTTTTGCGTGCGTCTTTGGCAATAGTAAGAACGCTGACATAGCTCGGCTTCCCGCGGAGCGCAGGGCGCTATGCTGACCGTTTGTTTTCTTTGCAGCAATTGGCAACTCTAAGCTTCTTGCTGTCGCCGATGAGGAGGGCATGATTAGTATCATGAACGCTGCACACGACGTGCGCTCCGACGCAGGTTTGCAGAAAGCAACGTTTTTTTGGCGCCACCGCGTATTCATCGCTTTTGGGGCGGCGCGGGCTGACTTGCGTGTCGTTTCTAGAAAAACCGCGGTCACAATGGCTGGCCCATCACAACGCGATTTTCGACATTTGCTGGTCGGCCGACGATCGACATCTCGTGTCTGCCGCCGGCGACCAAACTGTGCGCATTTGGGACGTCGAGACGCAAAAATGCATTACAGTGTTCAAGGGGCACAATTGCAGTATCAAAAGTGTCGCAAATCATCCCAATAATTCATGTAAGTTCAGCGAACGGGCCACAACGCGAGGTCACATAACGTTTCTGAGCGTTTTCTTCCCTAGATACGTTTGCTACGGCAGCGCGAGACGGGCGGATCATGACGTGGGATACGCGTTGCTCTCCATTGCCAGGCTCGCCTGAAAACCCCGAGCTGTATTACCGCCCCGCCAGCACCATCAACAATGCACATGCACTGACGTTTGGCGGCCCTACCAAGGGGTCGGCAAAGGCACGTCGATCGGCGTCTGGCCAGTCAGCGGTAAAAGCGCGGTCGAGCGAGGGATAATTAACCCATCCGTATCGCTCATTGCACTCCTTTCCCAGGCCAACCCTTCGCAGAGCGTTACAACTGTGCGTTATATACCAAATCACGATTCCCTGCTCGCCTCGTCAGGCGCTGCGGATGGGTACGCCAGTGGTGCGGTTTGCATTCTGCTCGCCAGCTCACCGCACTAATGTTATGTTACTTCAACTTCACTCGTCAGGCTCATAAAAATGTGGGATATGCGAAACACCACGATGTACTTGCGCCAGGCAGCTCCGCAACCGTTCGCATCGTCTGCGCCGTTGCCAGGTGCCCGACGCGCACATGGTGGGTGCACGCTCCTCTGCCCTTCGGCGTGTAGCCGCGAGTTTTACCAAGCCGTTTCGTTCCTTCTCATGTGCGGGCCTTTCGTTTTTCTGCAGGTTTCTCGTCGTTTACTCTTAATTCCGACGGGAGTCGGATATACGCTTCATGCACGGACAATCAGTAAGCAATTGGTAATCGTTTCGCTTGTGTTAATGCCAACATCCCTAACTGTTTGATGTGCAGTATATATGAATTCGAGGCCGGGCGACTCGGCGAGCCGGTGCAACGATTTTCTGCCGCGGATTATCGCTGCGACACGTTTTATATCAAGACGTCGCTTTCACCCGACGAGCGGTTCATTGCGAGTGGCTCATCCGACAATGGACTTTATATCTGGGAACTCGGTCATCCAGAAAAACCTCCGCTGGTCTTGCGAGGCCACACCGGCGAGGTTACGGGCGTCTCTTGGAATCGGTCAGATCTGGGCACGGTAGGGAACGCGCTAGCTCTACATTCAGGGGGCATGAATATGGGCAATTACTAAGTTATACCATCTATTTTTTGCTGCGCACAGCTTGCTTCGTGTTCGGACGACGCAAGCGTTAGGATCTGGAAGGTGGATATGGACTTTGACGAAGAAAAACAAGACCGCGCATACCGCGATTTGCGCGGACGCGCAGAGGAGGGCAGGCTTCGGCAGGAGCCCGAGACAAAAGAGCGGTCGCAATCTTCATCGCCACTTAAAGTATCACCATCAGTAGCATCCGCAACTAGGGCTCGTACGAGAGGCGAGGACGCGGAAAACCAGCCACCGTCGACACCTCCTGTGAGGACAGACTCTGGAATGCCGCAACAAAGGCGGCATCGCTCGCCAGCGGTGGGACGTGGTCGGAGTAGTAGTAGTAATGGCAGCAGTCGGGTTGCTGCCACTGCGCGGAGCATCAGACAGTATTTCCCGAGCCCTGGGTAGCGCTGGGAACCAGTTTTCTCGAGAATAAAATCGCTCCCCGGAAGCGCGAGCGTTGCTCGACTAATTGTGTGTCGTACAGCAATTTCATGTCCTCTGGTCTCTGTGGTCTCTTCCCGTCGTCGTCGGGACTTTTTTTCCCGTGGCATCGTCGACATGCAAACTCGACCTAGCTTGTCTATCCTATACCGGCATCTCGGCCACCGCCCATTACGGCCTTCATTAAACTGCCAAAATGCTTCCGCTCGGTGTCAGTCCACTGCTCCGGCCTCGCCCTCTTCCTCGTCTGTTTTGTATGACCCGGTGGCCATTGAACGCAAATGGCTCAACACCCCCTTCCTCACAACGAGGAAGCCCGGTACGAACGGCAAAATGAATCGAAAATTCTACGTGCTATGCATGTTCCCATACCCGTCTGGCACTTTGCACATGGGTCACGTCCGAGTCTACACGATCGCGGACGTGATTGCCAGATACAACCACATGCAAGGGTTTAACGTAAATCAAACTTCCACGGCGCTTGAGGTTTCATGATTCCCACTTGCTGACGACACTGCCTGCCTGCCATTTCACGCAGGTCATGCATCCGATGGGCTGGGACTCGTTCGGCTTGCCCGCCGAAAACGCAGCCATAGATCACGGCGTGCATCCACGCGAGTGGACTATAAGAAACATTGCAAAGATGAAAGCCCAGATGGAATCAATGGGCACTGCATTTGACTGGACTCGGGTGGGTGGGTGCCGCGTCAAACTGAAAGAACTTTTGACGGGGGCGTCGCGTCCTGATGTTTTGTGTCGGCACTCAGGAGTTGGCCACTAGTGATCCGACATATTATCGATGGACGCAGGCGCTTTTCTTGGAACTGTACAAGAAGGGTCTCGTGTATCAAAAGGAAGCTGTAGTTAATTGGGATCCTGTTGACAACACTGTGCTTGCCAACGAGCAGGTAAGAGACAGGTGTGCTCCCGTTATCACCGACCTCACACTCAAGATGCCGGTCTCTGGTGACAGGTGGATGTCAACGGGCGGGCAGAGAGATCTGGCGCACTGGTCGAAAAGCGCTTTTTAAAGCAGTGGTTCATACGAATCACTGCATATGCCGAGGTCAGACAGCGTGCCCGGCGTAGTTCTCTGCTACAAGCGAGAATGTGTCTGATAGCTCGAGCGTATAGGAGCTTTTGCGAGATTTGAAGCATCTTGACTGGCCGGAAAATGTCAAGACACTCCAACGAAACTGGATTGGCAAGACGACGGGTCTCGAAACGGACGTCATAGTGGCCGGCATCACGGTAAGCAGTAAATTGAGCTTTGGCGATCGTGCGAAAACCGAGCTGTCTTTTGAGTAGTCGTTGCCGCACACAGGGCCCTCTTGCGTCTTTATCGGTGTTTGCGCCTGCAGCAGGAGGAATAAAAAACGCAACGTACATTGCAGTAGGAGTTGGCCACCCTCTACTCTCCTCAACCGTAGTGCACAAACCATGGCTTGATAAAGTCACTGCGCTATCTACGAAGCTCTGGGATCCGGCTGTGTCCAAGGCGGCAGATGTGGAAGGTGCAATCGCTCAAGGCTGCACGTTTCTACAATCGTAGGGTCTAAAACTCTCACCATAGGTACTTTCACCGGCATGACTGCTAAGCACCCATCCACTGGTCGCGAGCTCCCTATATACCTGGCTGGCTACGCTGAGCTCCCGGGAGTCGCATATTTTGGTGCGCCAAAATGTAGCGCGCGAGATCGCAAGTTTGCAGAACAACATGGCATTGCAACCGAGCCTACGGTTTTAAGCGGCAAGGGCAGGCCTGCGCCCGTAAGGTTTAAAACGCACTACCGCCTGCGTGACTGGTTGATCTCTCGCCAGCGGTACTGGGGCACGCCAATCCCAGTGATTCACTGTAAATCCTGCGGCCCGGTGCCCATGGCCGCGGACCAGCTTCCCAGCAGTTTTCCGCCTCAAGTGGAAATCACCGCTCGCGGCCATCCTTTGGCGT